GTTTATGAGCTTTCTGTAGTGTGTAGAAATATCGTTCACGTGAAAGGGAATGGTGATTTTAATCATTCCGTCTGTTTTATTTGCATTTGATTTTCGATGATTCATAGAGACGGATCCGTCTTCAGAAGGTAGTATGAAGACGTCCTCCGCCCTCTGTGGAATCTGAAAGTTTGTGCCGTGTTCCCACCTTCTTTTATTCTTTCCAGGATCAAGTTGCTCTCCGACTTAATTTAAGTAAACTAGCCGCATGGAAAGCTCTATTATAAACAAATGTTTTTTGTTATAATTGTTCATTATTGTCATGAGAGTATTTTCCTTGAAATTTGCCTAAATTTGGGTCAAATAATTGGCACACTTACACTCATTTTCGGAAAAAATTGATTTGGTGTAGGAAACTGCCAGTTGTAGCGCATTGAGGATTGGGAGATCCATAAAATTCATTAAAACACACGCAAATTTTACAAAAAAATATTAATTAGTTTCTGCCCCCGAAGACTTCTAATGCAGTCTAATTTGGTTGGGACATTACACTAGTTTGGAAAATATATATGAGAAAATCTAAAAAAATATAATATTTCCAAAAAAAATATTACTACCTTTAGTAATAACGAAAATTTAAATAAATAAATAATTTTTAGTGTGCTTTTAATGAATTTTATATATCTCCCGATTCCCACAGCTCTAGAAATCTTGGTAGACAGAAACCAATTGATATTTTTCGTCGCAAAGTCCAGACACCTTAGACCCAACCCACCCAGCCTCCTTGTCCGATGGCATCTGAGACACTGCCCCCGGATATGAAGTAGCAGGCACGTGTAGCTGGCCATTAACCCTCTGAAGCCGAAGTTCGTCTAAGTATTATATGAATTGAGTCCGTACCGCGAAGAAAACACTGCACTTCACCATTAAAGATAAACTGGTTAATGATATTTGAGAAAATAATAGCTGAGGAAGATTTGAGTTTTTCTGCAAATCCCACAAGTTAGTCAGTCAGTAATGGGTCTCTTTAAGTGTTCTTTGATCTTAAGGAATCTTTTTTGGTTTATCTTGTGACTTGAGTTACCTAAATAAGTTGCTTTGTGGTCCATACCGACTAATTAATTGGCGACGTGGTAACAGAAGATGAATTTTAAGAGCATCCCCATCGAAAATGGACAAGTTTTGTCACATGTGGAATGAAAATCGAAGACGAGACGAGTTCAAATGCGTACGCTGAACGTGTAACCGAGAGGTTTGTATCAGACAGGAAGACCGGATGCTGTCTGTTGTGCTGTGAGACACTGTTTACTTTTCGTAATGTAATATATGACTTTAAAACATTGATAAAAAAAAGTGTGGAGTTGTCCTGTCTGCCTCACGTGTTGATTAGACTACCGTATATCTGATCGAACGACCAATTGAATATTTAGAGATGTTGGATCAGTTAAGATTGCGCATTGATGATGTCAACGGAGATAACAGGAGAACAATGGAAGAAACAAATGAAATAAGGCAGTCCGAACTGAATAATGAGATAGCGTCGGAGAAGCTGGATTACTGGCCTACTTTAATGTGGCATTATGTCCATTTGTATGCAGAGTTTCGGAATAAAATGGCATATAACGATAAGTACGAGGTAGACTCAGGACTTCAAAATAATACCGCGTGGTTATTCATATACTATGATACTTTGTTTGCATGTAAATAGCTTATAATATTTTCCAACGAAATATGATGTTTTTACTTAAATTAATTTCACTTAGGAAATCTTTGATCTTAGTTTGTTGCTTTCTTGTTTGTTAATCCTTTAAAATCTATTGGTAATTATGTGTACCACGTGGTTTAATAATTAGTAACTCAATGTTTTGCCTACAGAATATATTAATGGGTTTCATATGATTCCCTGAACAGCATCAACCAGTTGATCATTGTAATGAAGAAGTGTTTGTTGTGTTTTCTTTCAAGTAGGACCTGCACGTTTAAATACTATTTCCACGATCTTCGGATTAAAAAATTTAATATAGTACAATTTCGGACTACATTATCCCAGTATTACATGAATTGCACTCGTATGTATTTCCTTCTTAATTTAATTTAACCCGTTTAAAATCCTTTGCCCGTGTTATTTTTTAATCTTAGTTGTAATCGGAGTTTTCTTCGTTTGTTTGTTTGTTTGTTTTGGGTTTTTATATATATATATATATATATATATATATATATTCCCCAGAAGGTCGTCATATCGAATCTCGAGGCTACTTTGATCGGACGTGTAAAATCTATTTCCTCACTGAAAAAGTAAATGTAATGAATATAATTTTCTGTTTGCTGTCGTCTCAAAATGTTTGATCTCTCTCACATTTTGGAGGATTTGTTAATTACCTTATTAGTGAGATCTCAGGTTCTAACGCCGGAGATTATGAAGAGGACAGACATCCGGGATGTTGCGTCATTTAGTCTCATACAAGTTGACTGACGTTTCAGAGGTTCCTACTGCCTCCATAATCAGAGTGATCGTTCTTATTAGCAGAACTTTATGTGTTTAAGCGTTGTATTTGTCGTTACCCATAAATTTAACATTATAAAGTCAGGTAATTTGAGTTATGGAAACAAATGAATGATGAATGTGAGATATAGGTCATTCTTGTATGCGCCCTTTTTGTGACTGGAAAGGTGCTCCCGTCTGGTACAAGTGCTTGAATAAAGTGGGCCATGACATGACTCAAGGACCGTAACAATATACAAGTGGATCAGGTAGCTGACACCATTTCACATAACATTCTTTTTTGCACAGAAGTTCAAAAATATTCTTAATGAATTTACGTGTGTTTTTTTTTTCTCCAGATAACAGCAATTAAGCAATTTTCTGTCGTTCATTTTCGTCATATTTGACACTAATGAACGTTACGTCTGTTATAATGACTCAAGTTTATGCAGAGTGGGGTGATTAATGCCTTCGAATGTTCTGTTATGCAGTCTCGTACAACTTTTGTACACTCTTATATGAAAACATCGGTCTTTATTTCGTTCTTATTCTTTCTCTGTTCCTTTTCTCCCCCACTTTTATCCCCCATCTTATGTCTGATTCCTTCCTTCATTTCTGAACAGTCTTTTTTTACAAAATTCTATCTATAACCAAACCAACAGCTGGCTCTTAGTCGGTTAATGCACAGCACACATTGTGGCTGCGTTGTGCTTAATTAGTATCGCCCCGACGATGGAGGCAGTAAGCACTTCTGAAACGTTGGTCAATTTCTATCAGACTACACGGCGAACATATCATGTAAGTCAGTCTTCACACTTGCCTCCATGACAACCTGGAATCCCAACAGATTTCTCGAGTGTTTTATTTATTTAGTGTTCTGTCTGACGACAGGTCCATATGAACAGGATCCTTCCATCCTTTTCTCGGACTGGGACCTGTTCATATACGTTCTTGGCAGATGATCCAAAAGTGGTTTGCCATTGCCTTCTTCTGTGTGAATGGAGTAATTGTTGGGATGCAACGGAGGAAAACTCCGTGTTGCCTAAACCACGGCCTTGCCCAACACAAGTTAAAAATTCGGGCACCGCCGGGAATCGAACCCGAGACCCCAGGATTACAAGGCCAGCGTTCTAACCGCTAGACCACCGTGGCGGCTATGTATGTAGTAGGTACAGACATGTGCAAATAACTTGGCGTGTGGGTGACATAGTTCGCAACGGTCGCTCGAGCGCCAAGCAGTTTGCCCTGATCTATACCTAAACCAGTCAAATACATCGTATAACAAGGAGTTTCGTGATTAATACAAGTCACCTGATACTGTTAGATCAGGTTCAGCGAGGATCATATGGACTGGGAGAGACGTGGGAAATCTCTTGAGAAACTCCATTTGGAAAGTCGAGAATTCGATGGAAATTCGATAGCAAGACGGGGCTTAGGGAGCTACTGTCCACAGATGATGAGAA